GAAAACAACCAATCAGAGCTTAGAAAGATAGTTACTATGGAGGGCCATCTTCAAGCCACCAATCCAAAAGCATAATGTGAATAATGATCTTATGTGAAGGGGTTGGTGAAGACGTGAACGTGGGCACTGGATTGGACTGCAGCAACATGATTGGCCTGGAGGAGATTGGGGCTAAATCTGATTGGTTTAACAGAAAGTAAACGCCCACTGTCATATCTGTCTCTGCTCTGATTGGTTGTTTTGGTTCAGGTCTGTTGGGTTCTTGCAAACGCCATTAGGAGCGCCGGGAGGAGCCAGAGGAAGCTGATTTTTCCACAGATGATCTGTCTCATGTTCTGTCAGGATATTGTGAAAGTTTAAGCAAATATGACAAAGCTTTTTCTTTTTTTTAAAGTGACCTATTAAAGCTTTAAACTACAATCAGACATTATTCTTTGCTTCAGTCAGAGCAGTGATTTTAAACCTGAACCGCCTTCATACATAAATAGCACTTGTATAAACAGTACTTCTGTCACATCACATAAAGCTGTTGTTTCACTATAAATCTCAGTTTATTGCACTATTATATATATATATACAAGTTTTTCACTGTGTTCTGGACTTTCAGGGAATATATTGTGCCAATTTCCCTTTAAGAAACATGACATTTTAACAATGCATTACGCGTTCATAATGATACCTAACACTAGAAACTCATGATAAAGGGCCTCATATGTCCTCAGTCCGACTGTCAATTCAGCATCAATATAATCCCTATCCCCCTATCTCCCTCCCATTGTGAGAACCTTTTGTTGTATGTCTGCTTGTATATTGTGAATAAATCACTTTGTCACTTCTGTTTTGAACCTGCAAGTTCTTTTTTTAAAAGGGATGTAACATTGCCAATAAAACACACTGAACTGGACCTGAACTGAGAGAGGGAGCTGCTTCTAAGTGCCTCTCGCTACTGATTGTGAGAGATTATTGTGAATGCTCTGAATAATAAATGTAAAAAAACACTGCGCTGTGATGACAGTTTTGGTTTAGGCAACCAGTTGTTCACCAGCGGATAGAAGACATCAGTTAAGTCCTCATTAATAAAGGGGAAGCTGCCATTTCAGTGACAAAAGACAGGAGACAATATTAAAATTATCTAAAGATAAAAAAATAACTAACCAGTGATCTCAAGATAACGCCATTAAAGATATTTGCGGCCTCTAAATGCTTCTCTCAGTGTTTTAAAAAAGCTGCAGTAGGTAGTAGGTTTATGGGCATATTTGCTATACCCTGACAGTCGTACATGAGACAGATAATCTGTGAAAAAATCTGGCTCCTCCAGCTCCTCGATAACAACCAATCAGAGTTTAGAAAGATAGTTACTATGGAGGTTGGAGTCTTGCAAATGCCATTAGGAGTGCCGGGAGGAGCCACAGGAAGCTGTCATTTCCACAGATGATTTTTTTTTTTTTTTTAAAGTGACCTATTAAAGCTTTAAACTACAATCAGACTTTATTCTTTGCTTCAGTCAGAGCAGTGATTTTAAACCTGAACCGCCTTCATACAGAAATTCCACTTAGTAGAAACAGTACTTCTGTTACATCTCATGATGTAAGTGTCACATTACCAGTCCGTGGGCGGTACACTGCGCATGCGCAGTAGTTGACACGAGCGAAGGAGAGAGGAGACCCGAGAGTGGCGTCGTGTGCATTATACCGAGATAAATCCACTGTTTGATGAAGCACAAATGGGCCGAACACAGAGGAGAGGACCAGATTTCTGGATTTATTGACGCCAGAATCGATCTTCATAAAGAGGCTTGTTAGTAGTCCTTATTTCTTTCGGGGTAGATTGGCCCCCCTCTTCAGCATCAGCAGGCTGCCAGCTCAGTGGATGGGACCAATTTTTAAGTTTTAGACACTCCTTTTATTCCTCTTTTCTTTTTTAAAAACCCTGCTTTAGATATGCTTTGTGCGCGTTTTGGTGCTTTTGCCGTGCGTCTTTTCCTGGTTGCCGCCGCCTTCCTGTCCTGTTGCGCAGGTTTGTGTCTCGCTTATCTGCGTCCCTGTGATTTGGACTTAAGTGTATTGTTTATAACAGCGACTGTAAAGAAATCTGCCCCCATTGTGTGGCTAATTAACGTTGACTGTGAAGGTGAAAACAGTAAGGGATAAACTGGGTCAGTGGGTAACATGACACCTCAGTGCCAGTGTAAGTTAATGGGGCGTTTCTAAGATTCCAACCTCAATATCTTCTTAATATGAGACTCTATAAAGAGACTGGAATGGGAATCGGACATTACATGCATTAATGTATCTGTATAATACATTATATTGTCATATGTCATGCACTTTGTCCTAGGGCTGCACATTAAACACAATATTATCAAGTAGGCTATTTCTAAATGGCAGGAGCTGCTGTTTTTAGATAATTGTGTGACATTAGGTAATATTGTAGTTCTAAAGAGGCGCCCTGGACCACAAATCTTGTTGTTCTGCAGATTTAAGAAAACATGCTTCTTTGCTACAGACCCCCCCATTATTTTGTCAGTGGAAATTATGAAGCAAAAATCACAATATCTTTCAAAATAATGGCAATATGATGTTTTTAATATATAGTGCAACCCCCCTACTTTCTTCGACCCCACTTTCCCCAGAGAAGAGGGTCAGAAATGGATTCAGCATCCTTAGTAACACCCAAAATCACCCGACCATAGGAGATGCACATTATGCAAATTGGCCAACATATGTTAGAATCTGGCATTTTCTGTCTTTCAAGTGCTGTTCCCACAAACATTTCTAACATTAAACTTTAGGGTGATCCACATTTCCGGGTTCCCATAGGGCTCTATTGGTTGGCAAATCTGTTGACAATAAATAAAAATCTAAATTTACCACCATGT